AAAAAAAAAAAAAAAAAAAAAAAAAAAAAACTTTAAAAAATAAAACCTAAACAAAAAAGATTAAATATATAAACAAAATATTGTCTTATTAGTAAATGAAGAAATAATCAAGGAGATGCAAACTATTTCGATAAAATTGAATGCATTAATATAATCCTAAATGGTATGTGGAACAAATAAAAAGTATGGGAATTATTAATATTAATTTCACATTATATAGATTAAGTATAAAGTAGTATATTAAATATTTTTTACAATTCTAAATGTATATATTATATTCATATTACTAGTTACATAAGTACATATCATAATAAACAAAGTTTATATAACATAATTATATGAAATTTACATGTCAACTTTGAATAATGATCATTTTCTTAATTACAAAATATCACATTCGATACATGTTTATTTTCTGAATTATATAAATTAGATTGATGTAAATTTAAAGAGTTAATGTAAAAATATAAATATTTTTTAATACAAAAAAATTATATGTAAATAGGTTACATTCAATAAAATATTACTAGTATGGAACCCGTGCGATGCACAGACTATATTTATTTTGGAAAATATTAAAATATTGAATATATTAATAAATAAAACAGTGATAATTCGTAAGGAAATTGTCAGACCATAAAATGTTTCTCATGAAAAAGTATATTATTTAATATTTTCTTGTACACAACATTATTTGTTTAATAACTGAGTAACTCGTCGTCCCCACAAACTAATATTTTCAACCATTTTCTATTACTTACACACGAAACAAATAACATAATTGGTCGTGACTAAAAATCGATTTTTGTAAGAACATGCCAACATACAATAGACTCTTCTTTATCTTTTACTTACACGTATAACAACAACATATAATTGATCGTGATCAGAAATCAATTTTTTTAAGAACATGCCAATGCATAACTCTTATCTATTACTTACATGTAAAATAACAACATATAATTGGTTGTAGTTAAGAACCGAATTCTTTAATAATAGCCAACGCACATAAAGATTGACCATTATCCTAAATGGAACCCTAAATTTAGAAGTAACTGGTGCTTTGGAACTTAAATGGAATCCTAAAATCGTTCATTTTCAAAATGCTACAATGGAAAATATATTTGAATATTAATATAAATTTATAGTTTGTGTATATGAATGTCATTCCAAATTGTTGGTTTTAATAAATATGATAAAATAAAAAAGAATCCTCACAAATAAGAATTTCAAAATTGATGCCATGTAAATTTAAATATTTTTATATAATTGTTTTTTGTGTATCTAACATATATATATGCTAATCAAAATCAATGATTCTAATAAATTTGTTAAAATAAAAAAAGAATCCTCAATAAATGAAAGTTTTAAAATCGGCTACATATAATTATATAATTTTTGCCTACAAAACCACTATTAACGTAATTAAAGGAAACCGACAATTGACTAAAACAAACACAAACCGAAAGGCGATTTATATGAAAATTATGCAAATAGTGATTTATTTTTTATTTAGATCATATTATATTATTTCCATTTATAGTATGTAATTAATGTTTTGGGCAGAAAATGCTCATAAAATATTCGGGTGTGAAAAAATAATGTGTTATGAAAAACCTAATTGTAAATAACATTATTATTTTGATTATTGGGAAATTTGTTATTCCCACAAATTAATATTTTCAATATTTTCTATTTGTAACACGCGAAATTACAACATATAAGCGATCATGACTAAAACCATGTTTCTTCAAAAAATGCAAACGTGCGATAAAGACTGACATTCACTCTTGTTTATCGTCGTGACAATATAAATGAATATTTATCTAAAAAACATAATCTTTGAAATGCAGTGATCGTGTGTTATTGTTTAATTTTCGTGATTGATGGACTCTTTTATTAATTAGTTGGTTTGATTCAATATATAACAAATTTTGTTGCCAATCGTTATTAGAGTTATAATAAATTGTGTAAATGCATAAATGAAAAGAGACCTAAACTATGTAAAAATTTTCATCTTTTGAAAGCAAATAAATGTTAAGCATTATCTTTTAAAATAAATAATGACAATAATTATAAAATTGTATTGTCAAAACTGATAAGGTATATAAAATTCGTTTTCCTTTTCAAACCGATAATGTAGAAAAAAATTCAATTGGTGAATAGATGATATATGCAAACTATGATTTTCCTTTTCAATCAGTAAACATTGCTACCTTGTCACGCTCGTCCGAATTAAAAATGTTCTGAAGACGCATGTTTTTTTTAAAGTTGCATCACAGTACAATCCCTCCAAATGGTGGAAGCATTAATAGTTACATTCACAATATCGTAAAAAGTGGCTCATGAAAGACCGGTTGTGATTCGGGTTTTAGCCGCACTCAGCTGGGTGGTTCAATCAGGTAGGCGCAGCTCGTGGTGCATTTGGAGTATATAGGTGGTAGGCGGAGCCTAGCTCGACGTTAGCTAGGCAGGGCGCCTCGGCACCTAGGCAGCTGGATGTTCCATCGAGGGGACCAGAGCTCGGAGGTGGTCTTGTGCTCATATCGTGAAGAGGTTCACAGCCTCGAAGACTCATAGTCTGATAAGAACTCTTCAGCTTCTACATGAGTTCATCTATAAAAGGGCACATGTTCATTCATTTAACACACACACATACAAATTCTCTCGTTACTCTATCGTTTTCTTTTTGGACCACCACTGACTTGAGCGTCGGAGTGTTCGCGCCGGGACTACCGGAGTGCTTTGCAGGTACCGACGATTAAGGAAATGCAACTCGGTTCAAGAGGAGCGGTCCAGCGGTTCAAGTATTTGTGGTACAACACATGTGAACCACTCGAAGTTGCAACATAACTCTCTTTGCTCGTTCAACTTCCTCGATAAGACCGAAAGGTTGATCTATTTTTTGTTTGACACTTACTATGGATTCACTAATTACTCGTATGTTCGTCAATGGTGATTTTTTTGTGTGGGTTGATATGATACTTATAAGCATACTAATCGTTTTAACAACAAATAATATGGAAATAAAATTACATTGAACGCTAATGGTGATATTTATTCATATTGTATATTTTTTTCACGTGAATGCTAATTGTGTATCATCAAAATTGTGTATTATTTTCACCCGTTGTTTGTTACCTTTTTATTGGAAAGACTGTGAATGTTGTAGTAATTTATATTGCACTTTTATATCTTATTTTTTATATAAGAAAAAAATTATAAACTTTCAAATTGTGAATATAATATGTCTAATACCATTGAACGCTAATGGTGATTTTTATTCATATTGTATATTTTTTTCACGTGAATGCTAATTGTGTATCATCAAAATTGTGTATTTTTTTCACGCGTTGTTTATTACGTTTTTTATTGGAAAGACTGAGAATGTTGTAGTTGTTTATATTGCACTTTTATATCTTATTTATATATATAAAAAAAAAAACTAAAATTTCAAATTGTGAATATAGCATGTCTAATAGCATTGATGATTTAAAGTTTGTTTGCAAATAAAAATAAATAAAAAATATATTGCCCATTTGAAAAATGTGATTTTAATTTTTAATAAAATGATTTCATAAAACGAATTTTATTTTTAATAAGTAATTTTATAAAATATGATAGATATAAAAAATATTAGTCGAGAAAATCATTTTCATAAAACCGAGATTTTATGAAAAGGTTTGATATTAATTGAAAATTATACAACAACAAAATATCCAAGAATCTAAATAGAAATGATTTGACAATATCATTGATTTTTTAAAATATGTTGATATGAAAATAAAATACCCAACATCTACCCTAAAAAGTGGATCATGATAAATTAAAATAATTTGAGTGTAAATAAATTGGTATGTATAAAATAAATCGCTATAAATATGCTAACAGAATATTGCATGTACCATTAAATCTGCTAACAAATATGCTATAAGAGAATATATCTAACGGAATATTTAAATACAATCTGGATTCCATTTTAATAGGAAACTATAATAATGTAAATAATATTTTCTTATTTAAAATAGATTCTAAAATTACCATATTTAGTGTGTAATTAATGTATTTGGCGGGAAAGACTTTCTAAAATTGAATTATGTTAATCCTTATTATATATTAATAGATTTCAAATTCAGAATTCATGTAT